CAAGTCACTTGTCTCTGAGTCTCAGTTTCATCAGGGAAATGACATCGCTGGATTACATGACCAGAAAGGTCCATTCTGGTTGCCAGTTGCTACAGAGCTGGGAGGGGACGCCGTCTCCATTTGACTTAAGTGCTCCATAGGTACTTCTAGTGAAAGCTAAAAGAACTGGCATTCCCAAGTGTCTCCTGCCTGTCAGGCTCTGTGCCAGTAACTGTCCTACCTGACTTTGCTTATTTAATGCTCAGAGCCGCCCTTGCCGGTGTATGCGCATCTCCCCATCCTGGAGAAGACAAAACCAAAGCTCTGATTGAATATGCAACTTGCCAGGGTCATTTAGGTAGCAAGTAGCAGATTCAAGATGCCAGGATTCGAAGGCTCACTCTCTTATCACTGTCCACACTTGCTCTCTGGTTAGCCGTGGCTGGGCCACACCAGTATGGATGCAAGTAAGTGAAATCATGCCTGTCCCAGCTCCATTCCCCAAGGCCAAGTTCCTTAGGCAGTGGAGCAGAGGTCTTGATTCAGCGACTACTTCAGCAGGCGGCTAAATAGGGCAGCGATTTAGAAATACGGGTTCTGGAGTCAGCAGGCCTGTCATTTGCATCTCCCTCCACAAAAGCAAAGTGGCTTCGCCCAACTCCGGCCCCCTGAGCCTCTGGTTCCTCAGGTAGATAACTACCTATGCCCAGGGTTATTAGGAGGATTCAAAGAAATCACCCATGTAGACAGCTCTCAGCAGACCGCCTGAATGCAGTAAATGTTCAATCATTATTTCCTACCTAGCTCACCAGGAGTGGATACAGGCAGTGGCGAGCTCATCCATGGCAGGACTTATGAACCTGGGGTCCATGAGCCCCCTGAAATGATGTGCCAACAACTGTGTTCGCACGCTTCTTCAGGAGGCATCCTCAACCTTCATCAGATTCTCATAAGGGTCTGCGAGCAGAGGAGGTTAAGCTCTTTTGACTGCTGAAGACACGACTTCTTACAATGTAAGTCATTCCTGAAAGAACAGGGTGGCAGGAGCATCACGGGAGAAGGTGCTGAGCCCCCGCAGCCCTGTGGGCCTCAGGTACTTATCACAGACCCGACGCTGTGCCGAGTTCCCAGGTAGTTCCTGGAAGAAGGTCTGACTCCGAGCCACAGAATGAGCAGGAATTTGGCTTCCAGAACCTTCTCTGGCAGGGCCTGTTCCAACAATCTATTCTTCCTCAGAGAACAATCGGTGTATTTGTTTTTGCATACCAGCAAGTTAAACACGCAGGGCCCTTCGCCCGGGGCGTTTTGCTAAAGGAACACAGCTCCACGGGGCTGCGCCTGCACCTGACACCCCGGGACAGTCACCTTCCCAGACCGGCCTTGCCGCAGGACGAGCGTTGGTGCTGCTGGAGCCTTTGGCCCAGTAGGCAGGGCTCAAGTTGCCCACTGGACCCTCTCCGGTTGTTGGGACAACCGTGCTCAGGAATTCCGGCCTCCCAGTCTTCCCCCGGGTGAGAA